CTCGCACTTGTCGATATCGATCTGGAGTCCAGCATCCATCAAGCGCTGAAGAACCTTCCCAACCTTCTGCCTATGATCTTGGAGCGTTCCTGAGGAATAGATTAAGATGTCGTCGACGTAGGCTGAAACAAAGTCGTCAAGGTAGTCCTGCAGAACACCATTGATGTATCGTTGAAATGCAGCCGGTGCTCCTGTCAGGCCAAAGGGGGCCACCCGCCATTCGAATAGACCGTATCTAGTTCGGAAAGCTGTCTTCCATTCTTCTCCTTTGGCCACGCGGATCTTGTGAAAGGCTGCGATAACGTCGAGTTTTGTAAACCATTTAGCTTTTGCTACATTTCTTAGTGTCTCTGTAAACAAAGGTAGTGGATAACGGTCCTTCCTAGTAATGTTGTTTAGGCCTCGATAGTCAACACAGAATCGGATGCCTCCTCCTGGCTTTTTAATCATCAACACTGGCGCAGCTGCAGGGGAGCCGCTTGCACGGATAAAATCCTTGTCTAGCAGCTCAGTGAGGGTTTTCCTAAGCACTAGTAGCTCTTCTCGGCCCATGCCGTAGAGTGGTCCCCATGGAATAGTCTTCTCGTTTCCATCCTGGTCCTTCTCAATCTCAATGTGGAGATCGACGCCTTTACGGTGCGGAGGCAGCTTCTCAGCTAGGAGTTGATCAAAGGCCTTCAACCATTGGTGGTACTGGGGTGGGAGCTTCGTCTTAGGGTCTGATCGCTGGCGCGGCTTTAAGGCCTTCTCGATGTCTGCAATAGAAACCGCAAACACACCAGTGTCGAGGGCTATACTGTTTTCTTTGTTCTTCCGCCGGCTTCTCCTCACCTCTGCCATAAATGCAGAAGCTATTACCAGAGTAGCCTTGAGCTGTGGTGGCTTGTATGCCGTCTTCTTGTGGTTCCATACGCGGATATTTGATGCACCAATATCTAGGCAGCCTTGTTTGGCGGAAATCGTGACGTCGGCATCCTCTAGCCAAGGCTTTCCCAAAATTACGTCGTACGTCAGGCTAGGTACGACGTAGAAGAAGACACGTTTCTGTTGGTGGCCGTCTATGTCTATCGAGGCGTAAGTGACTGTATCTAGGACAGTACTTGGCTCTGCGTTCTTCCCGGCTGCTTCCTCTAGCTGGCGCGGGGCTATCTTGATTGATGGCAGTCTCAGAGATCGAAAGAGTTGTTCATTAATGGCGGAATAGCAAAGGCATCCTGAGTCCACAAGTCCAGTGACAAAGTCGGTTCCATTGAGTCTAACGTCCACTACAAAGGGATCGCTATCCATCTTTTGCTTTCCAGTCTCTTTCCATTCTCTCTGAGCTGCCACGTGGTCCTATTGCTCTGCTTGAGGGTCTTCTGAATCCTCCTCTACAGCTGCTTTGGTGACTACGGTACTCTTTGCGGTCTTGACGCCAACATAAGTTGGTCGAAGTGCGGCTGCCAGCGGGCAAGTAGCTATTCGGCAGTTGTTGCGGCCGCATCGGAGGCAACGTCGACCCTGGCGTCGAGCATCGATTTCTTCTTGGTTCACCCACTTTGCCCGTTTCCCAAGAAGCTCTTGGTCCTCAGGGCGCTTAGAAGGGAACCCATTTATGTTGGCCTTGCCACGGAGACCGACAGCGTTCACTTGAGTGGTTGCGGGCTGCGTAGGTTCCCATTCCATCATGTCCTGGTGATTGCTGTAGCCAGCAACATTGGCGTCAACTGTTGTCATTGGAGCTGGGGGGAGGGTGTATCCAGCTGTGTAGCCGCTGCCTGCAACTTTCTTCTTTGTCCACTGACCATAGAGTTCCATGTCGTTACTTACGTCTACGCATCTTTGAACAAACCCAGCGTACGTGTCGGTGTCGCTTCCAGAAAGGCCTACGAGGCGGTCTCTCATTTTGTTGCTGAGTGCGTTGCGGAGGTAGGATATCTTCGCGTCATCGTCCCATCCTTCTGCGTTGGCGTTGGCAATCTCTTTCTCAAAGCGAGGGTAGAAGGATATGAAGGTCTCGTCTTCTCGTTGGCGTATAGAGTGCAGGTTCTGGATTGCTTTCTGCTTGCGGTTGCGTTCTCCATAGAGGAGTTCAAGGCGCTCAAGGAGTTGACAAGGGTTTGGCAAGTCTTGTCTAAGCTGCGTCTCGTAGAACGTTGTAACGTTCGTCTTTGCTGCTCCTTCAAGGTGCATGAAGATGTAGCGTAGCTGAGCCCTAAGGCTTCCAATAGCTAGGGCATCTTCTTCAATCTTGCCTTCCATCTCTAGCTTCCATCCTCGCCATTGAGATTTGTTGCCGCCGAACGTAGGTGGGTGAGGTAAGCTTGGACGTGGCTTTGGGGCGGTGTAGATAGGTGAGTCGCTCGCCTTGGCGGTTGGCGTCGTCGGCTTTGGCGTCTTTGTGGCGTCTGCCCTGTAGTCAGGCAGTCGGGAAGACGTCTCCAGCATCCTCATCCTAGCACTTGTGTCCTTCTCTCTGTCGCTTATTTCTTCGATCTTCTGCAGCAGCTGCCTTAGCAGCTGGTTCGCATCGTTTGCCGGCATGTGGGAGCCCTCTGCAGAGTCTGGCATGGCGGTGTCTGACATGACGTCACTTCGTTGTCTTCGGTATCTTCGGTTGCTTCGAGATCTCGACTGTATGTGAACGGTCTGTAGGTACTGTATTCCAGCTACCTAATCCAGATGCTATTTACAGTCGAGATGAAGAGAAGAAGAGGAAGTGGGCGGCCATCCCGCTTTGTTTGGGTTGGCGCGCGGCGCACGGTGCACGGGCTGCTGGGGGAAGGAGTGATAGAAGGAAGGAAGCGACTAGGCCAGCGGCCTAGTCATGTGACCTAGGGCTCAGCCCGTTACAGAACCCAGCGACATGGACATATGGACGCTGACAGCTGTCTTGGGTACGATCAATGTGTCGAGCTATATCCTCAGCGACGACCATAGAGGAGTCTGTAACGCCTGTCTGGAGTAGCGTGATGGCATCATAAACGAGTGTCGCATCGTGGGCGCCGACGGGATATGTGTGGATGATGAGGACATTTATGGCAATTGCTTGCACACGGGCACTAAGTGTACTTAGGAAAAGTAGGCGGCGTTTACAGCAGAGTTAGAGAACGAGACGGACGAGGATGCGAGGGCGGACGCGGCGCAGAGGCAGATGAAAATCGAACAAGGTCTGGCTCCGA